GTGAAGACAGCAAAAACAGAAAAATCATAAAGGAAAAAGCATGCCTCTTTCCCTCTCTTATACGTACGCTGGCTACCTGCCCCTTAGTGGGTGCACCACTCACATTGTCAGTCTCAACACTAAACAATGAACCAGTCACAACACTAGACTCAGCCACCTTGGAAAAGCCCACTCCCCACCAAGATGACATGAGGATTTGGGGAGCCTTCTAGACACAAACCATTATATTGCCTTGCCAGATAACTAAACTTTTATATTTTTTTGCAAATATTTGACAGTGGTGTTTGGATCATGAAAATTAGTAGAAACTGTTTAGTAGGAAATTGTGTTATTTTTCCAGTCTTAAAAATTATTATATTACTAAAGAATACAAATAAAAGATACAAAGCACTATATTTATTACTGTTTAATACATAAATGCATGTAAAAAAATTTCTCATATATCTGAGTAACAAGGATAAATTATAAAGCAATTATTGACAAAGAAGAATGTAGTAAACTATATGCCAGATGGTAAAAGTCATAGTATTAGTGGTACTCTCTAAAATTTTGAAAATATAGGTAAAAATCTATCAATCAGCATCATTATTTATTTCCTATTATACCTAAAAATAAAGAAGATAAAATAAAATGAAAATAAAATACAAGCTTTCAGCACACAGCCTAGTTAAACACATAAAACAAACTACCAAATTATCTTTTTTGTTCCCTTTTTATACTTGAGAAAAAAGTTTCATTGCAAAGTATAAACAACACTAGCATAAAACAAATAAGAAAAACAAAACAATTTGTTATTGTAAAGAGAATCTCATCATTTTTAATTAGAAGTTGAAAATTAAATTAAATGGCTTTTACTAATACAGTGAAAGGAAATAGCAGAATGAAGTTTGAATATCATTTTTAATTTGATTTAAACATTTTCAATATTTTCATTTGTTTTCACTTACTTTATCAAAAATATTTAACATCCAAGGTCTAACAAATAATTGTCACACTAGGATCCAAACCAATTCTAAGTTTACAATTTAAAGTAGTTTCCTTGAGCAAACTGAGATGAGAAATGAATATTAGATAATCAAAATCATAAAAATGGTTATACTTATCTAATTTCTTTTGAATTGAGTAATGTTGATAACTTGGAAGAAAATACTTACTTTTAACCAGAAAAAAATGTCTAAAATCTATCTTCATTTTCTTATGGCTACTGGAGTCATTCAACTTTCTTTGAACAGTTCTTTCAAATATAGATGGAGACATTCATTGATTTTTTAAAATTATGTTTCAAAAGAGTCGTTACCCTAAAAATTTTGTTTCACTGTTAATGACTATCCTAAAATTTGAGTATAACTAAAACTTAAATAACTGTCAGTTCCATTGTCTTCAAATTATTAAAAATTTGAAGAACAGAGTGAATGCAGATCAGATCATTACAAGGTTTGGTATGTGAACTTTAAATATAAAATGATATGTTGATAACATTATTTTTGTTAACATTTAGATCAATAATTTATTTTTAACTCAGCTTCTCATAATACAAAAATAGTATTTCTCACAAAAAATATCCTTAATTTTGTGTAAAACAATCAAATTCTGCTAAAGTTTACAACTTTTAAGAAAATAAGTTATGGGATTTCTACAGGGGTAAATTCTACAAGTGTTCATTTTTCACTAATCAATGAAAATGAAGCATAAATTGAGAGTACACATTATAAAATTTATTGTTGAAAGAACTACGCAGGATTCCATAAATCATATTTCCAATTAACTTTTTAGGAAAGGATAAAAATGTATACACAAAAAGCTAAAATTAGAGTGAAAGTGTGACTCTCTTTGTAAGACAAATCCATGCAGCAGAGAGGAATGTTATAGCTACCAAGACATTAAAATAAAATGGTGCCCTTTAAAATAGATATTGGCTAGATTGCAGGCTGAAAGAGGATGAGAGAGGAAAATCATTGTAACAAGCCACATGGGTCAAGAAATTCAGAAAATAAGCAGAATTTTGTAAAGAAAATACTATCAGTATAGTGCAATGGAAATTATAGGTGAGCGGTACAATGAAGTAAGAGCAAAGCGGCTAAAAATGAATAAAAGATTTTCATGAACCATTTTAGTTCTTTTCACAATCATTGTAACAGAGAAGACAGGGCCACAGGGGAAGAAATCGTTTTCTGAGCTTCACCTTAAAATGAAAGTGGCAGTTGCAGCGGATTGTTTAAAAAGCATGTGAAGTAGGCAGTTGAAGAAGGAAAATCTATGTGTGGAGCAGACAGTGATGTTGCAGGTTTTTAAAATTAATTCATTGGTACATTTTAGAAGCACATAATATTTATATTAATCATAGGAAATTGGTACAGACATGATACATTCTGATTCTTCTTTTTTTTCCCAATCCTCTCACCTAACGTCAACTGTGTTCCCCATTCCCTTCTTACAAAGCTTTGTTTCTATTTTATCCTTTTTAAAATTACTTTTTCTCCTTTTCCTTTCCTTCTCTCCCTCTTTCCCCACCCTAATTCCTGCTTCTTTTTGGACAATTGCTTTCCATTTCCCAATATCTATTGAGTATTTGATCCTTAATTGATTTTTCAGTTTCTCACGATAGGGAGACAATGCAGTGTTTACTCATGTGACTCTGATATCAATCTTTTTCAATTCTTTATATATTCTAGATATAAGCCCTTTGTCTGAAGGACAACTGGCTTTCTTGAGCAATCATTAGAAGTCACACAAGAAACCAAGAATAAAGAGGATGATTAGGAGACAAAATCCAGGCTGGAAATGAGTGATTTTGAGTTATTAGTTTCATTGGGAATGGAAAAAAGAAAATGACATAGGAAAATCTGACTTTTCAAAAGTCATGATAAAATCTGTTATTAAAATATTACTTTTCAATAGGCTACAAGTAATGAAATAATTAATACCAGAAACAGTACAAAGAAATTCACACATTGCATATGAAGTTATTACATACCTGTGAGGAATATTGTTATTTTTCGATATCTCAGAATGCATATTCAGTTCAGTGCACCTTAAAAACACGTAAAATTCAACAATTAATAAATAGCAAAGTTGTATTTCATGCTCAAGCTGTCTTACTCCACATTTCTTTCCAAAAGGAATGCTCTGTCTATTTAAAATAAGCAAATGGCATACATGTCAGTCTGTTTATGCAGCCTAACAAGGTATTTGGCATGCAGAAGTTTACGAAGAAAACACATTCATTTTCTCATAGGCTAAAGCACAGATGCCAACAGGGTCACTGGTCTGATAAGGGCTCCACTCTGCTTCTCTGATGACTCCTTGTCATAGTAACTTTTCCAGGGACCAACTCTCTTTCTCTCACTGCAGCAAAACCAGAGAGAAAAGAGCCATGCACTGTCCTGCAGGATGCCTTTTCTTTTCTAAGCACCTTTATCTGATTCACATGGAACAGCCCTGGGGAATGGGACTGACCACTATAAAAGGACAGGTGCACACTGCTGATTAGGCTGGGCTTTAGAGGAAGCACATTCAAAGTTTAGCAAGAGGTGAGATGACCACATGACAATGAATAAAAGCATGTAAGTGCAATGACGGAGTTTGACAAAGAAAACACTTGTTTAAAGTAGTTCCACAGTGGCTTTAGGTAGTTCCCCAGAAACTCCAGTGGAAAGCATTGCAGCATTTCCCTGTGGCAGAGGGAGGAGCACATGTACACTGTGGGTAACCGCGTGAGAGTTAGTAGAAAAATCCCCGCGTGTCTACCCAATGAGAAGAAGAACGCCAGGCATTTGAGGAGAATTATTTTCTATTGCTTTTGAACGTTATATTCTTCTGACTTTATGTCATTCCTACCTAGTATACATTCACTTTGAGTTTTTCCATTGTTATTTCTACCCATTTCTGTTGTGAATAGGTATAAGAGGCAATAAATGAGTGTCCATGTCATTTAACCTCTAAATCAGAGATACTTTACATCTTTGAAAGTGAATGAAAATACTATGAAACTTTTGCAAGCCAGCCTATCTCAAGATGTGTGTACGTAATTTCCTGTAAAATGAGCTGTCAGTGCTGCTTGAAATGCTTTATTGGTTTTTTTCCTTGCTTACTTATTCTTGTTGGTTTTCTAGCTGACATTTCTTGTATCAATTTTAAATTTTTAAATGTGTCTCAAGAAATTGATTATTATACATTCAATGAAGTTGAATTTAACCAGAATGTAGTGCTTTCCATCCACAGAAGTCTGAGACTATCCTCTCCTCTTTTCTCTCTCATGTTTAAATTTTCTGAAAAGTTTTTCATCACTTATTTTCCGTTTCTAATATCTTCATGCTATACTACCTCACAGACTCATTTTTGGAAATAGAAGGCAGAAAGTGGGCATAACTCGTTCTCCTGCTGTTTCTCTAAGACTGGCCACAACTTCCTTGCACATATAAAACACTTCTTCCCAACTTGTGTAAGATCTTTCTCTATCTCACCAGCATTAATTGTGGATTTGCATTATTCTCTTCATAGACTGCTGATTTCCAAAGATACATTATGTTTACTCATGATTTTAATAGCAAAGTCCTTTACGCTAATACCAATCATTAATTAGTTGCTATAAATAATGTGGAATAAATAGAATTATTTAAATATTTTAGGGCTATTTGCATACTTATAAAAATATATATCTGCAAAAATATTTCCGGTAGCCAGTTAACAAGTATCATTTTAATATCAGATAGTGGGACTAATTCATGAAGGAAGTAGATGATTCATTCATTGGTAAATCCTAGTCTTGGACAGAAGTAGAAGAATGCTCCAGGTCCTTTATAGTCCCCATGTCTGTTTAAGTAGAGTCCTGTATATGTGTGCAGAGGGTTCCAGTCAGTCATTAAGTAGATGTAGTCTCCCATTCTCCCTAAATCATTACTGATTTGAACTCACTGTTTTCTCTAGTTAGGCCTTAAAATTATGGCCAAATATTTATTCTCTAATTAACCTAAAAGTGAACTATATTTCATTGCTTGTAGGATGGTATGGGAAATCTGAGAGTCACCAAGAAAGGAATCCGACTTGAAGGTATATCTGAATTTCTACTTCCATTGTATGTGAAAGAAATTCATTCCCGAAAGGTATGTGATACTGGCTTTGGCTTACTGTAAAAGATAATTTCGAGCTTATGTTTAGCTTGAAGTAAGAGAATAGAGTCCCATATCTCCTTATGTGTTTAATATTCTTAAGATGAAGTACTATTTGAGGAAATTAAAACACAAATAATCGAAAAGCAGTGAAAATTAGTTTAAAACTGACATTCCAGATACTATTCGGAACTAAACTTCAGTATTTTTTTGCTAGTCTATAAAATTTGCCCCTCTAATTTCACTGAAAGTTAAAAACACAGCTGTATTAAACCTAAAAGGGGCATATGATAATTCTTGAATTTTTTTTGCAAAAAGTGCTAACTGAATTAGTCATTTCAATTTAATGTTATACATTTTTTCAGTTAATAGATGCACATATACTAAAAAAGATGACAAAGAATTTTACTTATAAATTAAATTTATTTATGGGTGTGCATTGAGCCAGAATATATATTAATTGCATGTGTATACACCATATGTATTTTAATCACTTTGTAGCATGCTGAAAATCAAGATTTTAGCGTAATGATTGTTCATTTTAGCTTAAGTATGTTTCTTTTCAGAATATAGAAGTTGTTTTATAGGGTATCAGAATCTTGCAATTCTATGAGACATCCTCTGAGACATGTGCATATGTATGCACATACATTTATTTAGATAGAACTAATAGAAAATTTATTATAAAAAATTAATCTTAGCTCACAAATATGAAACTATTTTAGATTAAAATATTACTAATAACAGTGTTACACATGAGCAAATAGTCTGTATCATAAAACATAATTTAAATAGCTTGCTTCTCTGCCATCTTTCTCCTAATAGTAAAAGGAAATGAAAACATATAGCTTTTAAATTAAAAATTACATTAACAGTGATTTTTTAATAATACATGAAATGGTAGCTTCACTTATATACTATGTTGACTGAACTCAGGATAGTAGAAATTTTATCTTGACATTCTGACTTCAATCAGATGTACCACAATAAGCACATAAATGGGCAACTGAGTTTATATGATTAAAGTGTAAAAACGCTAACTCAAAACACTTTGGAGTTTTTATTTTATTGAGATAAACAGCATGATTACTATAAATGTATTTCTTTGATTAGAAGTTACTATTAGTTATTTCTTAAATTCCTATTGTATCTGACACAATTAAGCAGTTTAATATTTGAGTGATACATTAAGCAAAAAATTGTTTAATTTAAGAAGATAGGGGAAATCATAGGCAAAAGTCTTTTGGAAAATAAAAACTCACAAGAATTCTACAGGAAGGAACGATAATTTGTTCCTAGAGCCACTTAGTTCAATTTATAATGTGAAATATTGTGAAGCCCTCTACCAGCAGAAGGGTCATAAAATTCATCTTTTGAGCCACAGACATTTTAAAAAGTATAACACAAGTTCTGTAGTGCAAACAGAAATAAGAATTAGCTTTTTCTGTAAACCAAATAAGACAGAGTCCACTAACGTTAGTATAAATATAAGGTGGGTTGGTGGCAGGTGGACTTCGTAACCTTCATGACTGAGAAACCTATTTCAAGTTCACAAGTGCTTCCTAAGACAACCGCTCTGCGGACTGCAGACTCCTCCGCCTGTCTCCAGCCCTTGCTCGGCCTTGCAGTGTCTCCTCTTGTCATTTTTTAATCCTGGAAACAGGAAGCAGAGCAAAGCATAGAAATGGGGATGGCGAGTTACCAATAAAGAGGAAAATAAAAAATAAATAATGGTAAGTAGGGAGAGGGATCATTCTCAGAGGAGACGGCAGGAGGGAGGGAGCGCAGGAGAGGGCGAGGAAAGAAAGAAGCCGAGGTGTGCTGTGTCCCACGCAGCCCACGCAAGGAACGGGATCCTTATGGGAGAAAATGCATAATAATAAAAACAAGAGCGATAGCAATACTTACAAAGGAGAGAGAGTTTGAATACAAAAAACAGAAGAGGAAAAAAAGTATTTCCATAAGCAATTCTCTCATTAGGATTCATTTACTCACAAATGTGTGCATTTGTTTCTTCCTGCCATACAGCATATTCATTCCACTGGTTTAATATGGCAAGTACAATTTCTTTCAGTCTTTATTTTATTGCTAAGAAAGTTTAGCAGAAATTTATCAAAATGCTTTATTCTTAGATTATTATAACGCACAGAAATGTTAACAATCCTGGTAGAAGTAAATTTTTAGTTAAAAATTCAGTTGTGTATATTGTGTACTCAAATTTTTTAGTGATTACATGACAAACTTCTGGTAGCTTTTGCATAAATTTAAAAGGTAATTTCATTTGTATAAATTTAAAAGCTAAAATAAAGATGTGGTGGCACATGCCTGTAACCCTAGCACTATGGAGGCTGAAACAGGAGGGTCTCTGCTAGTTCAAGGCCAGACTGGGCTACAGAGTGAGTTCAAGGCCAGTCTGAACCACATAGTAAGACCCTGTTTGAAAAAAAAACAAAACAACAGTCAAAAAGACAATAATGATAACAACAAAACATAAAAAAGCAAAACACAAAGGCACTTAATAAAATTTTTAAAACCGCTTTTTACTAAAGATTTGTGTGTGTGTGTGTGTGTGTGTGTGTGTGTGTGTGTGTGTGTGTCCCTACCACTAAAGCTAGCCCAGGGCCGTTTTTATGTTTACCATGTATACTCTGACAATTTTGAAAAATAGTTTTTTTATTTTAAAAAACAAAACAAAAAACATACAAATAATACAGAATTTCAAAAAAGTAAAAAATCAACACCAATTTATATATTGTAATATAGTTTTCCTAAAAATAGTTTCTTAGGTTACAAGATGTGGGCATAAAAATGATCAAACAATCAAACAATGACAGCACACACCATTCTTTTCAATGAATTAACAGAGAGTTAGTAGCATGTTATCTATCTTGCACACAGACACATATGTACCGTTACATGTGCATAGTACATACATATCTTTTCCTTTCTTTCATTTACCCTTTCCCCATCCCAGTTGTTCTTTGCTTTCGAGTACTTTCTTCCTGTCTCATTATTACAATATCTATTATACATTTTGGGTCTTATTATTCTTTCAGTTTATTATTACTATTTATTTTTACACTAGGGAGGCAATGCAACAATTACAAATATGATTTTTATTTATTTCACTTATGATAATAGACTCAAGTTGCCTCCATTTACCTATAAATGCCTCAAGATTGTATTTTTTATAGTTGAATAATATTTCATTGTATAAACACATCAGATCTTTTTATCCATTCTGTGATTGATGGGCACTTCGGTTGTTTCCAAGATTTAGCTATTACAAATTGTACTGTTACATATATATGTGTGACATGAAATTTTCAGTTTTTCTGGGAAAACGCTCAAAAGGGCACTAGCTGGATTGAATAAGACCTCTAATCTTAGATTTTTGAGGAATCTCCGTAGTGGCCACACCAGTCTACACTCCCTCCAACAGTGCAGAAGTGTTCCTTTTTTCCCACAGCCCCATCAACATTTTTATTAGTTGATTTATTGATCTGAAAGTTTTAAAAAGTGATTTTATGATCTGCATGCATTTAATGTGTATATAACATTGTACATGGAAAATTACAGAGGGACTCCAACGAGGCAAAAAATTCAGTTGCCTATAAAAAAGAGCAAGTTCCACTTACTCTACAAGACAAATATCCAAAATGTTGATGGATATATGGATAGTTAATTGGATAGGTAGATAGACTGTATAAACATACAAGTTTTTTTCATTATTTAGGGTAATTTATATCATACCCTTTTGCTTTAACTCATTTTCTAGGTGGTCCAACAATCCACTATACACACAGACATATAAGATAGTATCCACCTTGCAACTATGGAATTCAATGTACTTTAAAAACAAATATAATTTTCACAAAGAAAATTTTAACTAATTTTTTTTTGCTAAATGTATAGTGTCTTTAAGATAGAGGAGATAGAAAAGATATAGAGTTAGGACTATTTTACATGAAATATAAAATGATGATATTCTCCATCAATCTTCAAGACACAGGATCTAACATTAGGGCAATATATTTGAATGCGAGGAAGTAAAGATATGTAATCTTCAGATGTTTTCTAAGAATACAGTTGAACAGTTCCCTAAAGTTATGCAGTATAAAGTGGGAGTGGGATTAAACTGCATTCACTTCACTGATTTTTACCTGCAAATTTGCACCATACAGTTCTCTAGAACCTCCTTAATCATTTCCAAATTTCTTCTAGAACTATCCTTTTCTACTATATTTGTTTTTTTCCTGCTGAAGAATTCTTGACTAGGTTGGTACCTCAGCTGCCACTGATTTCTAACCTCTATAAAACGGATTGATAATTATGCCCAAGAAACTGCCACCACAGATTTTAATTCCAATATCTCCTCAGCAAAGCTAAGTCTTAAATTCTGAAACCCCTGTGTTGATAAAGTGTGTACAAGACTGCTCTTCTAATTATGTCCAGTTTACTTGGTTTCCAATTTGCTATGCTAACTTTGTGCTTGGCAATGGCCAGTTGTGTGTTTCCTGTATTCAAATCATTTTTTTTGGTAGAATTCTAACACAAACCACAGGGCCAGACTAGATATTTTGTGCTTAGACAACATGCTAATTCCTACGTGTATTTTTCCAGTACCAGAGCAAATCTATATGTAGATTTTTTTCTTCCATCTCAGCTACTTCATATAAATATATACCTGAAGGGTCAATAATTATTTGATCATTGTTTTATATTTAAATGTAAAAAGTATGCAATTTATAGGAATGTTTTTAAATTCAAAAATTGTAAGACAATGTGTTCAAAATATATTCTGCTCATCGAAAAATCCCTCAAAACATGTAGAGTTGGGGAGAAAAATGAGTGATGAGGTAATAAGAGAAATATTTAAAGTGTATAAAACTTTCATTCCTATGAAACTCATTAATCTGTATAACCAATAACACTAATTAAAATATATGAGAGAAAATAAAACAAACAACACAATTCACTCCAAATGTTTATAC